GAAATTGGCCCCATGTGGCCGATAGTTTGGCTAATAAATGCCCGTGCATGCGTGCAGCCCCAGCACAGCACTAAGGCAGTGAAGAGCAGAGCCTGGCAGTGTGAAGAGCTGCCTTTGGCTGGTAAGTCTGTTGTGGTGGAAGGGGAGGGAAGGGGCATGGGGGGGGCAGATCAACCCCCTCCACGGTGAGGAAGGGGGCAGGCGCTGCCCAACCGGGGGAGGAGGGGCATGGGACATAGCTGTGGCTTCTTGTGGGGAACAGCTCCTGCAGAGGCAGCGTGTGTCCTGGGAGGACACAGGAGAGGAGGGGGAGGAATGTGCCCCTTGGACCTGCACAAGGCAGGTGGGCTACAGCTGCAGGCTGGTGACAACAGATACATTTGTCTCTTATTCTTCGCTCCCCTCTTCTAGGGGTGCATCGATAGAGATTTTTGGGGCTGGTACCAATATCCTGGCTCAGTCCTCATCTGCCCCCACACACCGGGAAGAGCTGGGGCTGTGCTGGGTGCACCGTAGCAGTGGCGCTGGGAGGGAGCTATGGCAAAACTTGGGGTGGGTGCAGCCCCCTCCATAGCCCAATTGATCTGCCCCCCATGCCTCTTTGCTCCCCCTCCCCTTTCACCACAACAGACTTGCCAGCTGGAGGCAGCTCTCCATGCTGTATCGGAAATCGTATCAGTATCGGCTAATATGCATCCCTGAAAATCAGATGTCAGTACCAGCCTTAAAAATCTCTATCGGTGCAACTCTAGAAGAGGGAAGAAAGAATAAGAGCCGAATGTATCTTGTCATCAGAAATTCAGCTTTAATTTAACATATAGAAGTATTGAGGGCTTGAAGTAAAACATGAAATGCGTCAGGATACTGTAACCAATGTAAAAAATCAATCTGAATTTTCAGAATGCCTCGAACAATAACTTTGAGGTGTGAACTGATATACGCATTTTAATGTATGCTAACTTATGCAAATGATAATACTTGGAGGTGTAAAACATTCTTATTTTGCTCAGGTAGCTTATCCTTGGTCCTTGGTTAAATTGCTCCTGGAAGCTGAGCTAAAGGATTTTTAATGCGGGCAATTGGAGAAGTTACTAAGCCTAGAGAATGGTATTAAATGACAGTATAGGATCAACTGTAACTGCTTCACTGCTCATCATGGCATATGTAAAAGTGAGGAAATAGCTTATTACGAAGCTCCATAATGCTGTTTTTTCTGAATGGAGCAAAAAGGATATGGCAATTTATTGATGCATGTTGAGGACAAAGTGCACTTTAACAGCATATTAGCAATATTCTCTGTTGAGATAAATACATCTAGTTTTGTATTATTGATGAAAATGCTAGAAAGCATTTTCTTTCTCTTGTATCTTGTTTTGACATGATACCTATAGGGCAGTGATGGCCCACCTTTTTGGCAGGTGCGCCACAAGTTAAGTTACCCCCATCCTTTCTCTGCCTTAATGCTGCTCTGGCCCCAACTCACCAGGGGCATGCCTGACAGAGTTTGCATCCTGGGGAGGTAGAGGAGATTGAGCTTGCTGCTGCATGGAGTGGAGGCAGGATGCTGCTGCAAGAGGTGTCACCACCAAGAACCAAGTTAACCTTTTCCTGGTCCCTCAGCTGCTGTATAAAAATATGTCGAGTGAAGAACCAAAGCCCTAAATTCAGTGGCAGCTGCAGAACCAGGGCAGGGTTAACCTGGCTCTTGGCAGCGACACCTGGCATCTTCTCTCTCAGCCCTATTCTGTCCCTGCTCCAAGCACTTTGCTCCCTGCCTTCATTCTGGGTCTACCTTTACTGAGTACCTGGGGCTTATGTGCCACACTCAGTGACAGAAGTAACAGTTGCATCAAATGACACCAGTTCACTTAGTTACATCTTTATGATTCTGTAGCAGTACAAGTGAAGCAAAACTTCTCCAACTTTAACCTTGCTTCATCCAGGGTCAAAGTTAGGGTGATTTAACTGACTTGCATCACTACAAGTTGATGAAGATGTTTTTGTTACAAGAGCAGCTGCTGCTCCCCTTTTAAAATGACTACAATGGTCATTTGTCCGTCACCCTTAGTGACAAGAATATCCAGCCTCTAGAGGCTATACTAGAGAGACCAACCTGTTTTATGTAAGCTACTTAAGAGCTAACAGATGACACTCTCATTTAGTTCCTAGTGGTCTGCGCTAGAGTTTCAGTTAGTCTCTAGAAGAGAAAAGTACTTTTTCTTAATTTCCAGTGCCTTGTCCTTTATTGCTCATACAAATAACCCACGTAAAATTAGTTAAAAGGTTCACTGATTATTTAGGATTAATCGTGAAAATCCAGGCATCCTTTGCTTTGGTTTATTTTAACTAAAAGGTACAAGCTAGTTGACTGAGCAACTAGAGATACTATGCACAACTTTCTGGTACTTGCTGTTCATCTATGCCCTATTTGTCTAAGTTCTGAACAGTACATCAGATTTATTGTTAAACTAAGATATAGAATTGATGGCAAAAAATACAAATATAGCTTTAACACACAATCATGTTAAAGTGACTTGGATAAAACTGAAACTAAAGGGCTAAGTAGAGGCATTCAAAAAGCCTGAGCCTTAATTAATTCAATCTTTGCAGATTAGTTTAACCTGTGTATCATCATAGTATCATAGTCCTTAGGGTCGGAAGGGACCTAAACAGATCATCAGGTCTGACCCCCTGCCCCGGGCAGGAATGGGTGCCAGGGTCATATCACCCCAGCCAAATATCTGTCCAGCCTCCTCTTGAAGATCCCCAAGGTAGGAGAGAGTACCACCTCACTTGGGAGCCCATTCCAGAGCCTGGCAGCCCTGACTGTAAAGTAATGTCTCCTGATGTCCAGCCTGAACCTTTTCTCTAACAATTTGTGGCCATTATTCCTAGTAAACCCAGGTAGTGCCTGGGGGAACAGAGCTTCCCCCAATTCCCACTGGTCCTCCCTGGTGAGTTTGTAAACGGCCACCAGATCCCCTTTCAACCTTCTCTTGTGGAGGCTGAATAGGTTCAGGCCCTTTAGCCTTTTTTCATAGGGCCTGCCCCGCTGCCCTTGACCATGCAAGTGTCCCTCCTCTGGCCCCTCTCAATGCTAGCCACATCCCTCCTGAAGTGCGGCGCCCAGAACTGGATGCAGTATTCCAACTGTGGCCTGACCAATGCCACATAGAGGAGAAGGATCACCTCCCTGGACCTGCTTGTGATGCATCTGTAGATGCACAACAAGGTGCGGTTAGCCTTACTAACCACTTCCTCACATTGGTGGCTCATGTTCATCCTGGAGTCAGCAATGATTCCAAGATCCCTTTCTGCCACCATGTTGACAAGAACAGTGTTCCCTAGCCTATAGGTGTGTTGCTGATTCCTTCTCCCTAGATGCAATACCCTGCACTTGTCCACGTTGAATCCCATCCTATTCTCATCCACCCACCTCTGTAACCTGTCTAGATCTAGCTGGATTCTATCCCTCCTCTCCATTGTGCCCACCTCACCCTACGTCTTGGTGTCATCAGTGTAGACTGAACGAAGAAGCAAATTAGTAGATATTCATTTTTGATTCAGGAAATGCAGCCACATGCCTGCAGTGGCTCAGACTAGAAGCTGGAAGGTGCTAGAGTGAGCCCTCCCTTCCCTTTGGCAGTGGCAGGAAAGCTGAGCTGAGGGGGAGGAGGTGTGGCAAGGTCCTGGCAGGCTGCTGAGTATGATTGGGGAGGAGTTTAAATCCCCACCCTGGCCTGCATGGTCCCCAGTCAGGGTGTGCCTAGAGAGGGAAGGGGAAGCAGACCCTGTCAGCAGTTACCTTACCCCCTTATGTGCACTTGAATTTCTGTTCTGTTACAAGTTTAAACCAGTTTCTGATCACTTAAACCGGTTTATGTGTAACTTCTGTCCCTAGCCAAGAGGAGTAATATCTTTCTTTCAAGACACCTATCACGTATTTAAAATTTTCCTTTTCACTTTTGAAAGGCCAAGAGCTCTTGAAGTGTCCTTTGAAGTATTGTGTGTAGATTATTAGATGAGTGGTATCTTTAGTAAAGTTATGAAAAGCAAATCTAAACCAGTATGCATTTGTTGTTGCCAGCAATTGTGGCTGCGAGTTACTGCCTTGAGCATTTAATGAACAGTGCCTTGCCATCTTCCAACCTAAACAGTTTGAGGGCACTCCATTTGAGTTTTTCAAAAGATTTAGAGTGAAAAGAGTATAACATTGGGAATATAAATGTGCAAGATGAATCCATGTTTTGCATTAGAAATATGAATGCACTCGCTGCAACAAATGATAATCTTACAGAGCGAGTGAGCCTTCAGAAGAAATGCAAGTATGCATTCATGTTTGCAAACTGAACACAGCCTGGAGCATTGTCTTTCTAGTCATGTAGTAACATCTTGTTTTCCTTTTTTCTATTGTGAGCATTTGGCATATGAATTTTTTTATCCTTTTTTACTGAAAAAGGACTAATTTGTACATTCCCTTGATTGGTTGTTTAAAAATCCTTAAGTGACTGCCAAAAGAGAAGGTCTTTCTTTCATTTCTGGGCATACTTGAATGAAATGAAAGCCATTAATGCATCCCACTTTAAAATTAATCCTCAAATAGATTATAATCACTTGTACTTTATCTCCAAATGATAACAGTTGTATTGTATAATTTTTTTATCATAATACTTCTTTTGACAGTGCTAAATGAATAATTGAACCTCATGCTCTTTACTGTAAATGTTGGTTTATGTAGGTGATAGCAGGATAAAGCCATGTCTAATAATGTTGTTATAAGATTATTTTTATTACTTTATCTGTTGTCCATTTATGATCTTTGCTTGCTTTCTTTTGAATTTAAAATACTTGCTTACCTAAAATGTGACTATAGTTCTATCTGCTAAAAAATAAGGAATATCTATATCTACCTGTGTGAGGGTAGTCTTATATTAATTTGTTTCTAAAATATGTCAGTCAGCAAAGCTTCATTTATTCTATTTGCTCTCTCTCTCTTTTAGGTGCCTGCAAGTTGGAGTAGGAATTAATTTCTCATCCTATGGATCACTGAATGAGTAATAGATGGCCTTACCTCGTCTTACAGAAGCTCTGCGCTCCTTTTCAAATGTCACTAAACATGATAATTATAGTGAAGAATTGGCTGACTTAACGGTAAAAATATTTTTTAAATATGAAAAGAAAATTATTGTGCACTCACATTTTAAAGAAGCTCTTAGTTCTGTTTCTTTCAGTTCTGTTTTCCTTCCTTCTGTAAACTCCCATTTTGCTAACAGCAAGACCCAGAATACAGGTAGTTTTATGAAAATAATTCCTTATACCACTTGTGCTTGTCACATTTTTTTTCTCAAGGTTGAATTTGGAATATGCTTTAGAAGATCTGTGCAAGGGCCTTAAACTCATAATAGACATCTTGACAGGTTGGCTATCTCCTCATGGCTCTATACTTCATATACTTTTAGGAAAGTGAGATTTGTCATGGTCCAAAAAATAGATTCATAGATTGTTAGGGGCTCTAGTTTGGTGTAAAGCAGGGGTGTCATGAACTTTTTATCACCCAGTGGGCTGGTGAGCCATATTCAAAGACCTCACAGGAAGTGACATCACATCAGGAAGTGATGTCACATGACCTTTGACACCAATGAAGTTGCAGGAAGTGACAATGAAATGGGTCTTCTCCACACAGGAACTTACCCCGTGCCTCTGTCCACCCTGGCCCGGCCCCAAGGCACCCCCAGCTCCGCACGGGAGCTTACCCCGTGCCTCCATCCAGCACGCATGCGGGCAGGGTGTGGGCCATGCTGCAGCTCCCCCTGCCATGTGACGGGGCAAGGGGCAGAGCCTGTCCCCAACTCGTCCAATCAGGCGCGGGTGGGGCAGCCCCACTCTGTGCAACCCTTGGGGCAGCTGCAGCAGGACCTGGCTCACTGATGAGCCGGGCCCCGTGGGTGTAAGTAACTCCCCTCCCTTCGCTGCCGGCTGGGGCCCGCGGGCCGGCCCTGACCACCTCGCTGCTGCCCCACTGCCGCCGCTGCCCTGCGCTCCGCCGTCGCCACCATAGCTCCGCGCTCCGCTGCTGTCACTCTGCACTCCATGGCAGCAGCACTGCTGCCGCCGCAGGCCAAATAAGATGGCTTGGTGGGCCGCATGTTGAACAAGCTTGGTGTAAAGTGACTGTTGGGTTAGACAGGACTTGAGGTTCGAACCCCCTCTCTCCAAATATGAGGCATTTTAAAGCATGATTGGACTTCGTCCCTGTGAAAGACACAGTGCATTTCTATACATAATAAAAATGATCACAACTTAAGAGACTTGATTGTGGAAGAATAATTTTATTTTGTGAAGGGACTGGTGGGTGGGTTGGGGGTACATGGTGAGGACAAGCAGCAGTTACAAGGGCACAGGACAAGGGGTGGAGGTCTGGCTCCTCACCCCCCCACTGTTGCCTTACCAGCCATAACAGTGGGGGGATGAATTTAAGAGGGCCATCTGCTAATTAGATTCTATACATGGGAAATTTTAAAAAAATATACTTTTTCATATATAGAATCCAATAATTGTGTATTAAATTCAAAGTCATCTGGGATTCAGGTAAATACAGTAAATGCATGATACATGCCCCTCTTTCAAGAAACCGACTGGCAAACTTAGGAATTGGAACAGCAGTTTTGGGGGACTGTTGTTGAAAAATATCAACATTTACTATCCAAAACTACTGTAACCATTAAAAATACTTGAAGAAGATGATAGCAGCCAGTTTGTTTATTGCGATCTATAAGCAAGTTGTGAATTGTAGAGTGGGCACCTGAAACACTTTTAGGCTTTTAGGGGTAAATTAGTCTCATGAGATGTGCGGGTTTTTTTGGGGTTTTTTTCTGAATTGTAGCGGCAGGAAAAGAATGCTAGGGCAAAGCAGCACCAGCTCAGAGTGTGGATAATGACACTATGTTACACTAGAGTTTGAGTTTTTGCCATTTGATGACATAATATGAAGCTCAAAAAGCACCTTCTATGATGAGATGGGACTATCTGATCTTGAAAAACTTACCAGAAGGCCAACATTAACTTTACAACAAATGTAGTTACCTTAAAGTTAATTCAGTTAAGCTTGATTAATAGTTAACTAACTGGTGGGTTCTACAAAGGAGGAGATTAAACAGTTATTACTGTTTTCAAAGGATCTGTAGATTTTGCTACTTAAAGGTTTGGGTGAGCACAGGAAGTTTCCTTTTGTTTATACAGAGCATAATGTGCGGGCCCTCTCCCGATCCCACCTGGGTCGCCATGTGCGAGTTCTCTCCCGATCTCATCTGGGTCGCCATGTGCGAGCCGGGGGCGAGCCGGGCCCGTCTTTGTGCACACAGGCTGTGGCCAGCAGCCCGGGCACGCGGGGTTGGAGAAAACCACGACGCGGTATGGTATGCTCGAGCTAGAATCAGTCACAGAGGCGTAATGGTTGATTGAAAAGATTATTTACTTACGCCCAAGGTGGTCGCGGTGTAGGCTGGTCAGCTTTCCAGGCACAGCTCCGCTTGAGTTCTCGGTGGAGGACTCTAATAGACTCGGTTCCTTGACCCCGGAGTGGTTTAGGCTCCACGGGTTCAATAATTCGTTCTCACGGAGCAGCTGTATCTCCATGGGTTACTCGGTTCCCAGGTCCCCCAGAGCTGTTAAGACTCCGTGGGTTCGACAATTGGGTCCTTAGGATAGGGATATGTCTGGACTGCGATCAGCGACGGGGAGAGGCTAGAGGTTATGTGCCTTGGAGTTGTTAAGGCTCCGAGG